AATAAACCCCCGGATGCTCAGTTAATGTGGGACTGAGAGCTGTGTCATATGAACAATGACCATCCTGTTCCTCTAATCTCTGTAAAGCAGGGCTTCTCAACCTTTTCACTTCTGCTAACATTTTTTGAAGCCCGCCTGTCTGACATTTACTTTAAGCTGATTGTCTTGAGAAAATGCTTATTTTAAACCTTTATTTATTAGCAAATCATTAATTTTACCTTCTATATTGTCCTAATTTTCTACAGCATAAAAAACAAAACAATGTGTATTCATTGCTCACATCAAATATATATATATATATACAGTTGAATTATTAGCCCCCGTTTATTTTTTTCCCTAATTTAAAAAAAAAAATTTTAGGTTAATCTTACTGCGATCTTGGAATTAATCTAGATTAAAGATTAAAATGGCTCATTTAAATTCTGCCGAAGGCATTCAGAATATGTGTGCTACCCAAACAATGGCTAAAGTTAAATCTTTGAGAACGGGTTTCTCAACCCAGGTGGCGCATTAGACCAGGGGCTCATCTCCTGTCTCCAAAATGCCTCACAAACTGCTTGAGAACTGTTCTGCTATGATAACTGGTGATGAAAATAAATGATGTTCAATAGTTTGAGATCTGAAAAGCAAACACAGCGGTCTCTGGTGGATTCCCGAAAAACAAAAACTGCAAAAAAAAACCTCCTGGGATATATTTGGCGCTCTCCTGAAATGTAGATAGGGGTACGTTTTCAGAATGAGCCTGAGTTGCAAAACTTTTTAACTACAGTAAAAGAAAATGATGGCAGGGAAATATGTAAAGTCTTTAAATAAACATCATAGGTATGAGATGGAGACGGCATAAAAAAAAAGTTAGCATTTGCCAGGTGGATGTTGTCAAATAATAAACCTGAAACACATGAGATTGTTGTAATGTGGCGAATCCAGGCAGTGGAGAATTTACACTATCGATATTGTCCCTCTTTACCACAACAGGTCAATGCTTTGACCACATATCTGCTGCTGTGCACCGATCCGCCTGTCAATCTTACATTCCATCCCTCCCTCACTCCTGAACAAACCCCAAGATACCTGAACTCTTCCACCTGGGGCAAGGATTCTCCTCCACCCTGGACACTTTTTCAGTAGTGTCTGACTTTAGACTTGTACTTGCACGCTCAGACATGCACTCTCAGACACATGCACTCAATAAAGCTCAATAACCACGCAGCAATCGACAGAGCAGAACTCATTCATTTCCAATAGAGAGTAGTCCGGGAGCTTCGTGAAGCTCTGATCATCTGGAAAATTCAGATCCAATTTGAGCTGCGGATCCATTCAAATATTTGACCACATTCACATTCATGCATTTAGCAGATGCTTTCATCCAGAGCAACTTACACCCCTGAAAACACACCCCGAGAGCCTTGCTCAAGGGAATCACCTCAGCCGTAATATTACGGTGGATATTTTCACCAACAATCCCTGCTGGTACCAGGACTCCAAACTGTAACCCTTGGATCGCAAGTCTAACTGCCTCATGACCTAAGCTAGGCTGAAATAGACTGTATGTGCAGACCATCAGCACGCTAGGACGCTCCCAGAAAACATTCCAGTTATTAGCAAAGAGCAGCTCCTTTTCTTTACACCATTAACAGCCATTCATTCAGAACAGAAAGTCTTCTGAATGTTTCATTTGCTTGTAAGACAGTAAGAAGTGGTCCAGAAACGATGATCTCTGTCACAGGCGAAGTGCATCAAACTGTCTTGATCAGGCTCCTGAGGACACTGAGAGAATGACGCACGGCAAAAACTGAAAATGATATGCGGCTGCCAAACGGAGGGGCTGTTCCCTCCTGAATATCATCTGCAGTGGAAAGGCAGCCTTAGAGGTAGGGTGTGGGACAGGGTTCGCTGTAAACCCTTCAAAACTTTTTTTCAGGCATCATGACCTCTGACTTGTTCATTTTCCTTTGGCTTAGTCCCTTTATTCATCAGGGGTCACCACAGTGGAATGAACCGCCAACTATGTTTTACGCACTGGATGCCCTTCCAATCAGTTCCCCTATAGCGCATGTGTTTGGACTGTGGGGGAAACCGGAGCACCCGGAGGAAACCCACACCAACACGGGGAGAACATGCAAACTCCACACAGAAACACCAACTGACCCAGCCGAGACTCAAACCAGAGACCTTCTTGCTACCCATTCACCACCATGCTGCACCGAATTATAATTATTTGTGTTGAATAATACTGTAAAAGGTTGAAGACCTCACACACACACAAAAAACGTCATTTGATATAAAGGGACAGAGTCAAGGCATAGAAAAGGTTTTATAATGACGTCTCTTTGTGTGTGAATATGAATAAGCAATAATCCGCCCAAGGGAATCAAAGGATCTCCAATTAAAGGAACACCCTCTCCTTCAGTCAGTGTTGGTGTGTGGCTTATCCCACATCCACACCTCATTGAAGAATGCTGAAACACTGCAGCTACAGTACTCTCCCTAATTCATTTATTCTCCTGCTTTGTGATCCCGCTAGCCCTTTACTGTTTCCACATCATCTGTCCAGTGTTTCAGCCTTAACTTCCTGACCTGCTCTAAAGCAGGGGACTGAAAGAAAGGCAAGATAAAGACGGATATTTCCACTAGAGTTTTTGTTTGGCTGGACCTGAGCTGAACACTGGCATGCACTTCACAGCAGATTATTCAATGAGTGTGGTATAATTAGCCATTCTTAAACCAATGCATAAACCCAGCAGACACACAACATCATAAAACATAAATATTAGGTTAGTTTCACGTCATCAGCATGCTAAATTCACACTGCTGTCAGCGTCAACGCTTGCCCATTCACTTGGGTGACGTCAGGCATTGCTGAACTGCATTGTGGATCTGTCAGCGCCCCTTCAGTGGTGTTGCTCGCTGCAGAAGTTGGAAAATTCTCAAAATTTTAAGTGCCAACGAAAGCGTCAGCCAATCAGATCACTGTATGCAAATTCACCAGCTCAGACAGTGGCCGATTGCTGACTAATTTCATTGGCTGATGCTGCTATGATGATTGCATCAGCCCCAAACTTCAGACCTGCCCTCTGTCAAGCGTTGACGCTGAAGCCCCGTGTGAATCGAGCGTAATGACAATCAAATGACGTTGATATTTGGTTGATTTTAGGTTGTTGGAAGTGACTAAAATCCACTATCGAGCCAACATCTCAAACCAACGTCATACTGACGTCACATACTGACATTTATTCATCAGGTATGGCAAACAAAATCCCACATCTGATAGACGTCATAGTGGTAACGTCCACACAACGCCAAGCTGGAACATCATTAGACGCTGATATTGGGTTTTTAGGTTGCGTTGGAAAGTCACCAAAATGCAACATCTGCCTGACGTTGAGTTCTGATGTCAACCTGATACTCATTTCCAAACAAAAGGCAATGTCCCACGGTGTTGGGGTACAATGTCAACCTGACGTCATGCTGATGCCCTGTGTGTGCTGAGAACTTTAATTTAACACTAATTCAGTAGTCCATCATGTCTCATTACAAACGTAAACCTCCCCTCATTAGAAAAACACATCGCAAATTTCACAATGTACATGTTAAACTAACAAAAGAGACATTTAAACAGAGCTATGCCCACCTAGAGTTCATGTCTTGCCGGTGTGTTTTCAAAATAAGAGTCCCACACACATAGTAAGTAGGGCCAGACGGAATCTGCGGACGTTTTTTGCTATTTCTGTGGAGAGTTTTGGTAAAAATCTGTTGATTTCGCCGGAATTACTTTGGGAGTATCCAGTGGAGTATCATAACTAAAACCTTAATATATTAAATAAACATTAATAAATTACTGGATAAAAACTGAATAAATTCAGATTTACACATTTCCTCAAGTAAATAAACAGAATCAATAATGGGCTAAAAACCTGCAGAGTTCTGCGGAAAATCTCTCGAAAATCTGCGGAATTCAGCGCGCACAGATTCCGTGTGGGCCTAATAGTAAGTATAATTAAAGCTTAGATAAACTTAGAGTCTTGTGGTCATTTCCATGCACTAAACTTTAAGGTCACACTTTATTTTAATGGTCTGTTTGTTGAATTTAAGGTTCTCTGCTTCCACATGTCAGCTAATTCTCTTTAGATTATCAGTAGACTGTTAGGGTTAGTGTTAGTTGACATGTACTTGCAAAGTGTTTTATAGTCAGTGAAATGCCTGTTGATGGAGCAGATCAGCAGATATTAAGCAGACAGTCTACTAATACTCAAATGGAGCATCACAATAAAGTGTCACCCAACTTTATTATTCAGCTTTGCTTTGGTGCGTCTAGATTTTCATTCTACTGCACCTTTAAGTATAATCGAGGTCTACATTGTATTGATAAAGGAAACTGCTTTAGTGCTGTTGAAGATGACGAGAGAAGACAAAACTTATTTACTTTGTCTTACACGTCCTCCACTCATCTACAAATAAGCCTGTGAATTGATCAACTGGAAAGGGGAAGAGACAAATGCAGGAGTTCAGCAATGAGATGAAACAAAACGTTGTGTCTGAGTTTGTGGTGCAGATAGAGAGAGTGTGAAAATATTCCTCCCCTTATGGCCCCACCCCTTCTCTCGGTGACCCCTCCCTCTTATGCTCACTGGCTCATTTCAGGTATCTGGGTCACTCCCAGCCCTCCCCTCCTTATATTTCCCTCATACAACACAGCCAAACAGCCAGAACTCTGCGGCAGCGCTCTCTGCCTCTTTTCCTGCATCCCTCCCTTTCTCTCTGCTACAGGTGTGAGGAGACCAATACCAGCCACACACAGGCACCTGTACCGCCCGGCCGTAACCAGACCTCCATCTCATAGCATTTTAATAATCATAACAGTGACCTGACGTTCTCCATAGCGTTGCTCACATATACACTCACACACCAACTTCTGTCCCGAGACGCTTGTGCCTGGCCATCTTCACCCGAGCAGATTCACAGTTCACATGTTCATGAAGTGATATTCACGGACAGGCAGGATGAACTTTGACAAGGTCCTGGACCGGATTGGTGGGTTTGGACGTTTTCAGAAGACTCTTTATGTTTGGATCTGTCTGCCACAGATCTTTTTGGCCTTCCACATGTTGGTGTCTGTCTTCACTGGGGCCGTGCCCCCTCACCTGTGCAGATCTTCTTGGCCAGTGGGGGACAGTGCCGGTCCCAGGCTGAACCTGAGCTTCAGCAGTGCTCCAGGGGAGTCCTGCACACCTTCTCAGGACGGCTCTCTGCCCCAGCGTAACCACAGTCTGCCGATTACCGAGCACTCGTCCACCGCGAAGGGCTGCACCGGAGGATGGGAGTTCAGCAAGGAGGTCTTCCTCAGCACTATCGCCACAGAGGTGAGTGCCCTCAAAATATAGCAGTTGTGTAGCAGGATGTGTCGGTGATAACATGCACAGCACTTCAACACAGATCTTTTTTTAGTTTCTCTTCTGCTTCTGGAGTTATTCGTGTGTTGTGGTTTCGATGGTTTAGCTGCATTGAGAGTTTCTGGCCACCTGTGGTGAAGGCATCTGACTTATAGAGATGCAGCTCCCTGGACTTGGAATGGACCAATGGAATGGCATTCCTTTAGCAACATGTGACCGACGATATGGGTTTCTCACAGCAGGACATCCTGGCAGAACCTGCTTTGATTTACAAACACTGGACCTTGGCCAAGCCTCACAACGGGAGGTGACTATATGATACCGCTCTCTGCTGTCCAGCTGCAAGGCCGAGGTGGAGGAAAGGGTGGGGCTGGAGAAAGAGTGCAGCAGACCAATCTGTCTCCAGTCCAGGTGTATAGAGGGGGAGGATAGAGTTAATAACCCAAACTAACTGTAAGACCACTGCAAAGACACTCAGTGATGAAGGGAGATGAGAATGAATTCTGATCTATGATAATGAAATCGCTCGTCACAGCGATTAACAAATCTTTGTAGTCTAAAATGTTCAGAGTAGTACTTTAATATGAATGTTTGGGTAAAAGTCCATAAAACAGTGGCTGTCCAAGGGACCCATGTTTTCCCCCTATAACCATTAGACGACATCCCATTATTATTTACCTTATACACACAAACACACACACACACACACACACACACTAGCACCACCTCACTCCACTTAACATTCACTTAAATACAATTGAAAGAATATAACTGATACTGATGAATAAACAGTGCAAGGCTCTAGAATAGCAGTCCCTGTTTACTGTTGCTAAAGCTCGTAAAGTTTTATGAGCCAACACCGTTTAAAAATATGTTGCAGTCATTGTTCGAGATTTTGGTTGACACATACAGACTTGTCCATTATGTATTTTTAGAGCTCTGGAAAGAGATCAGAGTACACTCAGAGAAAAACGGTGTAATGTTGTACCAAAGAAGGCACAAACCCTCGTCACTGGGGCAGAACCTGTTTATGGGGCAGAATTAAGACAAAGAAACTAATGTGCACCACTGCAGTTTGCTCCTTTAAGGACGTTATTTGCACCATGGGAAACCAACATGCACATTTGATGTTAAAAACCTCCAGATTTAATATTGTTCTTCATCAAAGATACAAGTCTGATCCGTGAAGGCACCACTACAGTGACAAGACACTTTATACCTTACAGTGTCAATAATGCTTAACAAACCTTTATTTAAAATGCCTTAACTGTTTAGTTAACAATACATAAAGTACAGTATAGTAAATAAAAAAAAAAAAAATATATATATATATATATATATAGATGGATGGATGGATAGATAGATACGTTCTAATACATATACCTTATGTTTTACCAGATGTTTCGAGTTATTGTATTGTATTATAGAAGTTAATAATGAATGTTTATGAGTGTATTTAAGCGTTCTTTAAATTATGATTCTTGTTTTAATGTGGAAATTATTTATAAATCACTTTGCCTTTCCAGTCATATTTATTTTCATAGATATTGTGGTAAAGGAGTTGTTCAACACTGATGTACCTTTTATATAGGAACAGTAGTGTATCTTCATTTCAGTACTATAAAAGATACAGAACAGCATCAGAACAGCTCTTTTCTGGACCATATAAGGTACAACGTCTACAAAGGTACAAAACTGTTCCTTAGGAAACATTATTTGTACCGCTTCTACCTTTTTTTCTGAGAGTGTAGTATTTTCTTTATCATTACTGATTTGAGGTAATCTTTGATTCATTCAAGCGGTATGGTTTTGGATGTACACTCGAGCATTATCTCCCCGCCACCAGTGAAAACACCTCACACATTTCTCCCATTTCTTATGAAGCAGAAACTGTGAAGCGTCTCATAAGAAATGGCCATCAGGAGAATTGTTTGGTTTGTTTTTCATGAACTTGAACCGAATCAGAACAAAACACAACAGCTTTCAAGTCATGCATCACTAAAACCTCCGTGACGCAGACAAAGAATTCTTTGCAGATTCACGAACCAACAAGCCCTGCTTCATCATGTAAGGGTAGCCCCAGCATTTGAGGAGAGATCTGAACAGCAACCTTGCCATTCTACATCGATGATCAATGGGCTACTGTCTTGCTCAAATTGTTGAGCACTAAAATATCCCCTTGAACCGAGAACAACCAGCTCCACTAACAAAACATTTCCCCAGTTGAGCATTTTTCACAGGATTTGTAAGTTGAAGCTATTTTGTAGCTCAGCATGGTATGTTTTCACAGTTCGACTAGTCTGTGAGTAGAATTTACTCGATTGTTCGTCGGCTCAATTCGTAGGCCTCGCAATTAGTTAGTAAGGGCAATTTTTCAGTTAGGAAAAATCCTTTAGGGCAACTGTTTTTCTGTCGCCTCACAGCAGAAAGGTCGCTGGTCTCCTCTGTGTGCTCCGGTTTCCCGCACAGTCCGAACACATGCGCTATAGGAGAACTGATGGACTAAATTGGCCATAGTGTGTGAATGAGTGTATGGATGTTTCCCAATACTGGGTTGCAGCTGGATAAGTTGGTGGTTCATTCCGCTGTGGTGACCCCTGATGAATAAGCTGAGGGTGAATAAATGAATGCATGAATGAAAATGACTCATTCATTGATATCGTGTGCAGGTGAAAGTGAATGCTATTGTATTTGGTTGACAGTATGATTGACAAAATCTTCTACACTGTAAAATTGTTGTGATTTCAGTGGAGATGTTAAAATGCAACAGTAAATATCTGGGATGAGCTGGTTATGAGTTTTAGCATTGACCCATGTTCTTGTCTTGCAGTGGGATCTCGTGTGTGAAAACGCCACTATGAACAACATTGGCTCTTCTATCTATATGTTTGGGCTGCTGGTTGGAGCGGTGCTGTTCGGAGCCCTTGCTGATAAGTAAGAACCTCGAGATCATTCGCACACAAACACATCATTATCCTCTAGTGGAAAACCCTGAATCTGAAACTCAAGCGCTGATATCAGTTTAGAAGCAGTCCTGATTGACATGAGATGATTAACAGACTGCATGTCTGGACACGAGCTCGAATACCAGGAAGTTTGGGATATTTTACATAAACAAGTCCTGAGGAAAAGTCCTGATTCACGTGTGGAGCACACCCATTCATTTAAGCAGGCAGCGAGCTGACAAAGTTTGCTGCTGCTGCTGCTAGGAGGGCTTCTATTTAAGTGGTCCTGGGTTTATTTACTGATATATATATATATATATATATATATATATATATATATATATATATATATATACACAGAGGAAGTCAGAATTATTAGCTCTCCTTTGTTTTTGTTTTTTTCTTTTTTAAATATTTCCAAAGTGATGTTGAACAGATTGAGGAAATGTTCACAGTGTGTCTGATAATATTTTTTCTTCTGGAGAAAGTCTTATTTGTTTTATTTGGACTAGAATAAAAGCAGTTACTAATTTTTTATTAACCATTTTAAGGTCAATATTATTCGCCCCTTTAAGCTCTATATTTTTATGATTGTCTCCAGAACAAACAACTGTTATACACACTGTTAAACTTGCCTAATTACCCTAACTGGCTAATTACCCTAGTGAAGCCTTTACATGTCACTTTAAGCTGAACACTAGTGTCTTGAAGAATATCTAGTCTAATATTATTCGCTGTCATCATGACAGAGAGGAAATAAATCAGTTATTAGAGATGAGTTATTAACACTATTATGTGCAGAAATGTGTTGGAGAAATCTGCTCTCTGTTAAACAAACAGGGGGGGGCGAATAATTCTGACTTTAACTATATACTGTGTGTGTATATATAAATGTGGAGAAGCAGTGATTTGAATTGAAATATCTTCTTGTGCTGCAGCCAGATCAGAAGGTTTGTGAGGTATGGATTCGCAGTGGTTTTTACAGAGCGGCTCTAATAAGCAGCACATGTTCACATTTCTGAGTTAGACAGACAATAGCAGCACTGTGGTGTGAAAACATTAACTGCTGAATGAACTGAAGGGAGAATGTGCTTTAAAATCAAAAACACAAGTGTGCCATCCCTGACACTGCTTCTCAATCAGCTTTGGCTCAAGATCCAGACATTACCCCGGACGCAGAGACTGCTCAGCTATTTACCTTAATCTGAATTAGAAAATAATATAATTAAGTTGTTTACATGAGTTCCCAGAGATGGGTTGCAGCTGGAAGGGCATCTGCTGCGCAAAAATGTGCTGGATAAGTTGGCGGTTCATTCCGCTGTGGCAACCCCAGATTAATAATGGGACTAAGCCGAAAAGAAAATGAATGAATGTTTACATGAGGGGCGACGCAGTGGTGCATAGGTAGTGCTGTCGCCTCACAGCAAGAAGGTTGCTGGGTAGCTGGTTCGAACCTCGGCTCAGTTGGTGTTTCTGTGTGGAGTTTGCATGTTTCCTCCGGGTGCTCCGGTTTCCCCCACAGTTCAAAGACATGTGCTATCGGGGAATTGGGTAGCCTAAATTGTCCGTAATGTATGAGTGTGTGTGTGTGTGGATGTTTCCCAGAGATGGGTTGCAGCTGGAAGGGCATTCGCTGCGTAAAAATGTGCTGCATAAGTTGGCGGTTCATTCCACTGTGGTGACCCCAGATTAATAAAGGGACTAAGCCGACACGAAAATGAATGAATGAATGTTTACATAAGGGCGACACGGTGGCTCAGTGGGTAGCGCTGTTGCAAGACAGCAAGACGGTCGCTGGTTCGAGTCTTGGCTGGGTCAGTGTGTGTTTCTGTGTGGAGTTACATGTGCATGTTGGCGTGGGTTTCCTCTGGTTTCCAGTCCAAACACATGCGCTATAGGAGAATTGATGAACTAAATTGACCACAATGTATGAGTGTGTATGGGTGTTTCCCAGTACTGGGTTGCTGCTGAAAGCGCATCCGCTGTGTAAAACATTTGCTGGATAAGTTGGTTCATTCCGCTGTGGGACTAAGCCATTGGAAAATAAATGAATTGAAAAGTCTTTATATTAATCAAGACTTTATATTAAGTGACCGTAACTGATATGCACTCGCATCTAAAATAAATACAGGATACGGGTAGGGTTAGGGGTTTGGGGTATGAGTAAGTTTAAGGGTGGATTAAGATTTAAGGGATGGTCAACAGTGTAGTTAAAAATGTATTTACAGATGTACTCACATGCAGATATTTAATCCGTCATTAGTACAATGTAAAACATGCAGATACACAATAAGCACATCGTCACAAGGGATTGATTTATGTGTAAGTACACATTAGTTAAGGACACCTAATAAGTGTGACCTGACACTTTTATACCATGCATTTAAAGTTTTGACTAAACGACTGACAGCTCAATAACTCCGCATGTTGTCGTTGGTTCTGTTTTAGGTATGGCCGCAGAATAATCATACTGATCGGTTTAGCAATACAGGCCATCTTCGGAGTGGGCGCCGCTTTTGCCCCAAATTTCTACATTTACGTCCTGCTACGCTTCGTGGTGGGCACGACTGTGTCGGCAGTGATCATGAATGCATTTGTGCTGGGTAAGTAAGAGATTTGAACTTGTTCTGTTTGACATGTGACAGCAGTAGAGTAAAGGGAATGGTTCAATATTAAATAGGATTGTTTAGAGGAAGCACGACTGCATCTCTGTTCTTTATGGTTTGCATTCAGAGGTGTAATAGGCACTCCAAATTATTACTCGGGTCACACTGTATTTCGATGGTCTGTTTGTTGAATTTAAGTTACATGTCAACTAATTCTCATTAGAGTATCAGTAGACTGTTGGGTTGGGGTTAGGGTGTAAGTTGACATGTACTTGCAAAGTACATTAAGAAACTTATAGACATCCATTATTAACTTCTATATTACAAAACAACTGGTAAAACATAAAACTACAGGTATAGTAAACTAAACATGTAAGACATTTTTAATAAGCATTTGATGAGCATTTTCTGATCAATGCAGTTTTATTACTGATATCAGCACCTTTAGGCGTTTCCACTACACACGTGAGCCGGCAGAGATCCTGCATATGCAGTGTTGATGCAGACATGTATTGTAAAGCTGATCAGACAATGTGCATTTAGTTACAATACTTCTGCATTATTCTCTTTTAAAATTAAGCAAATTAAATGAACTTTAAAGTGATTTCAAAGGTGTTGTGTGAAAATTGGAGGAAAAAAAGATTTTTATGGTAGATGTGAGAGTGAGTTTCTGTAACATCTTAGTGGAAAGTGTGAAATGTGTAGCTAAAAATAGAACTTTTGATTGATGTTAAATGATTTTTTTATTCTTTATTGTGAATGGAAAAGGTGCTTTTACACAAAAATAAACTTTAAAACATTGTTTAAAATGTATTTGATGTTTTACATTTACTGAAAATAAAGAAATAAATAGTTCTTGAAGGAACACATCTGACACTGTAAGGTATAAAGTGTCTTGTCACTGTAGTGGTGCCTTCATGGATCAGACTTGTATCTTTGATGAAGAACAATATTAAATCTGGAGGTTTTTAAAATCAAATGTGCATGTTGGTTTCTCATGGTGCAAATAACGTCCTTAAAGGAGCAAACTGCAGTGGTGCACATTAGTTTCTTTATCTTAAGGTACAATTCCGCCCCATAAACAGGTTCTACCCCTGTGACGAGGGTCTGTGCCTTCTTTGGTACAACATTACACCGTTTTTCTCTGACAGTGTACAGTACAAAGGTGATCACTAAGGGCAAACTACACTATCATAATGCTAGAAATGCCATCAAAAGTGGAAAACATTAAGCAAAAACATACATTTACACACAAGAGATGCTTAAAGACGCCCTGTTTATTCTTGAGCTTAATTGCCAGTAATGAGACACGCAGGATTGTGGGATATCTGAGGTGGTAAAAGATACGCCTTTGACTCTGAAATACGATCAGGAAGTAAAGCGAAATTTGTGTTTGGACGTGCCTCGATGCCTTTCTGACCAGGAATGCTGCTTTAAAGATAGCTTTTTTAGCTTTTGGCACAGCCATGATTTCTCTCAGGTTCAGGTCAAGATGCTGTGCATTGTCCTTTTTAAAGAACCACTGTAAATGTCTGGATAATTTCATTGAATGTTAAAAAGAGTCTTGTTGGCTGAATAAATGACCTTTAAATTAGACTGCCCATCAGCACAGTTTAGTATATTATTTTGTTAATAGCAAGGGGAAATATAATGAAATATTCTCCAAAAAATAACCACTTTTTGACTAAATAAAATTGTGTACTTGTAAATGTAATTAAGTAAAGGTATGTGTTTAAAGTAAAGTTGATTTATAAATGTCGAGAAGATCACGTGCTTATGATTGATCACAGCCGGTCCTGCATTATTCAATTTATGATTCACCAATCAGACGATTCCTAATCCACTAATAATACCCTCAGCTCCATATCAGGCTTGAGGATCTCGAGCTCAGGGCTCTCTCCCAGGACAGCATGATGAACACACTTTATAATCGATCATCAGCTGAGGGTGAACTCTTGAATTTTTCCTAAGTAAAGGACAAATTCCCCAAAACACTGTTTTTCTTGATTCCGCAGGCACTGAGTGGACGGGTCCTAAAAAGCGCATGTTGGCAGGTGTCATCACAGATTACTTTTTTGGGTTCGGCTATATCCTGCTTGCAGGGGTGGCCTACCTCATCCGAGACTGGCGTAAACTTCAGTTGGCCATTTCTGCCCCCAGCTTCCTCTTCCTGTTCTATGTCTGGTGAGTGGTAAAGGTGCTGAAAACTCCTTTACAGCCAACACAAATACAGGCCATAAATACATGCACCATCTATGGCTGCACAGGTAGAGTGCAGGGCAGAGAAGGAAAGGCTCATTCATTCATTCATTCATTTTCTTTTCGGTTTAGTCCCTTTATTAATCAGGGGTCGCTATAGTGGAATGAACCGCCAACTTATCCAGCATATGTTTTACACAGAGGATGCCCTTCCAGCTGCAACCCAGTACTGGGAAACACCCATAAACTCTCATTCAAACACATATACTAAAGACAATTTTAGCCTTGTGTTTGGACTGTGGGGGAAACCGGAGCACCCGGAGGAAACCCACATGAACATGAGGAGAACATGCAAACTCCACACAGAAACACCAACTGACCCAGCCAAGGGTCAAACCAGCGTCCTTCTTGCTTTGAGGTGACAGCACAACCTACTGCGTCATTAAGGCTAATTCAGGAATGTTTAAAACATGCAGAACTATGGCAGACCGTGACTGGCAAGCTCATGTCCATTTCAGAGGCGCTCAATTTTGTTGCTTTTGCTTTTTTAGCATGTGAGTATAAATAAATACAGTGATTTAGTCATTATTGATGGCGTTATAGCTCATAAGTGTCTGCTTTAAGATTTAGTGTCATATTTGTGCTTAGACTAGTATTTATGTTGGGTTAACGCTAAATCTTACTGTACAATAGTTTTCCGATTTTTAATGGGGGGGCTAAAAAAGAGAAATTACTGAGACCTTGGTAAAAGTGAAAGACTTGGTGTTCAGCGGAAGATAGTGATGTAAAGCTACAGGCAGGTGTATTTGATTAGAGTTGGAGCAAACCTGTGCAGAGCACCGGCCCTCCAGGATCAAGTTTGCCCATTCCTGGATTAGACTCCAGGGGAAGTTATAGGGTTAAAATAAAATGGTTGAGATCAATGACTGAGATGAATGAAACGTGTATAGGAATTAAAGAAATCTCTCCAGGTTTTACCTGTCCTCTAATGTTAGAACCCCATTACACACCGTTGCCCTTCAGGTGAAACATGACCCACCCTCACTAAACATCTAAAATAGAGCATCTACATTTATTTTCAATCCTCAGATCTATTACGCATGAAGAAACAAACCTATATTCCAGGGAGAGTTTTGGCTGTAAGTCAACAGGAGGGTTTAAGACCATCCGCATGACAGGGGTCACCAATCCTGGTCCTGGAGGGAAGGTGTACCTGCAGGGTTTAGCTCCAGCTTGCCTCAGCACACCTGCCTGGATGTTTCAAGTATACCTAGTAAGACTTTGATTAGCTTGTTCAGGTGTGTTTGACTAGGGTTGGAGCTAAAATCTGCAGGACACCGGCCCTCCAGGATCAAGTTTTGTGACCAGTGCACTAGAACACGGGTCTCAAAGTCAATTCCTGGAGGGCCGCAGCTCTGCACAGTTTTGCTTCAACCCTAATCAAACTGATCCAAATAATCGAGGTGTTCAGAAGAGTTTAGATTAGTTGATCAGCTGTGTTTGATTAGTATTGGTGCTAAACTGTGCAGAGCTGCGGCCCTCCAGGATTTGACTTTGAGACCTGTGCACTAGAAACACTTGAGTCTATTAGGTTAAAGGCACCTCAGAATATTACAGAACTACACAGTGTTTTAGAGGCCACTATTCCTGCATGTGCAGCTGCATTTGGTTATTTCTGTAAGTCTGTAATTGTGCGTTCTCAGGGTGCTTCCCAAGTCTGCCCGCTGGTTAATGGCCAATAACAAGCATGAGGAGGCATTGGATCTGATTCGCAAGGCAGCGCTTATTAATGGCAAGCCTCTGGAGGACGATGACATGGAGCTCTATCAGGTCTGGTTCTCTTAATCATTCTGTCAGACACATATTACAAAACACACAACATGAAGACACAACTTCACCACAGCGTCCTTCATCTCCAGTTGTTGATTATGTTGAATGTAGACAAAAAGGGAAACAAGACGAAAGGGAAACATAGAAACACAGGAATAACTTAAACAGTAAGCACAGGAAGCCATGCCACACCAGCTGCCCTTCTGAATCTGTGTATTTTGTCTCTTTGTACATGAATAGTTGTAGCCACCTCAGTAAACGGGGACCACCATGTCATAAAGGTCAAACAGGAACAAAATGAGGGTCAAGTCATAGCTAGAATATTCATTCTGGGATGAACAGACCTGTTAAGATTGTTGAAAATCTTTATTGCCAGAGGAATAGTCTTACATTCCGTCTAGCATGGGCTTATTTACAGTCAGCTGGACAATAGCACGCTGTAAGACACAGTCAGACCGACATGCTAACTGTCAGGTAGGGCTATTTGCATTTTATCTGGAATGCAGTGGAGTTCGAGCTCTCTTTAGAAATGAATATTCAAATGAGCCTCCGTCACTGAGAAATCAACTTGGAAATATGTCAATGTGTTTCTCTTCTGCTGCAGAGTCCTAAAAGCTCAGAAAAACTTCAGGAGCAGAGGAAGTACACAGTCTTGGATCTGGTCCGAACGCCTAGAATGAGGAAACAGTCCCTCATCCTCTTCTACCTGTGGTAAAATGCACCTGATTGCAAACATTTATTCATTTTCCTTCAGCTTAGTCCCTTATTAACAGCAGAATGAACCAACAACCATTCTAGCATATGTTTTGCGCAGCGGATGCCCTAACACAGTACTGGGAAACACCCATACACACTCATTCACACTCATACACTACGGCCAGTGTAGTTGATCAGTTCCCCTATAGCACATGTGTTTGGCCTGTGGGGGAAACCGGAGCACCCGGAGGAAACCCACACCAACACGGGGAGAACATGCAAACTCCACACAGAAACACCAACTGACCCAGCCGAGGCTCAAACCAGAGACCTTCTTGCTGTGTTTGGCAATTCTGTCCATAACATCTTAACATGCATTCCCAATGAATTACTTGACCAGAGGTGGGTAATAATGAATTACGTTTACTTCGTACATTTACTTGAGTAAAATTGTTCTTGCACTTTTTAAGTACATTTAATTAACATTAATACTTTTACTCTGACTCGAGTACATTTTTAGAGAAAAAAACATTACTTGTACTTTTGACGGCGTCCCTCTGTTACTGACAAATGACTTGTTTGCAAACGTCATGAGGCGTTGCGTTGGAGAGGTTGTGTTGTGAGAGTTAGCCATAGAGACAACAACACAGGCTCATTCTGAAAACGTGGCCCTGTATACATTTCTGGAGATCATGAATTATATAGCCAGAGGAGCGTATGACTGCATTTCATCTTTAAAACAAACACTATGAGGCGGTCTGACGCCGTTCAGTTTTGCGATTACCAGCTGACTGCTTGCCTCTGTGTGGACGGCTTTTCCGCTGTTATTAGTGGCTCACTGTGTTCGTCGGCGTACTTGTGACATGAAGCAGAGTTGATCACAACAAAGGGGTTCGAGTTCAGCAATGAATAGTTCCAGAATGCAGGTAAGACAAAAGCCAAAAAATAAAATAATCAAGGAAATAACAGTGAGAATATGGTAAAATCTGAAACTGTAGTAAACATCAGACGAGGGCTTTTCTTTATCTGGATTGCTTTTGAAAACAGTCAGTTGGGTTTAGGGAAGGAGGAGGCTGAGCCAGTCCATTGGTCAGTCAGTCAACAGCGGCCTCTGGTGGACTTGCATGAGAACAGCAGGCGCGAAGGTGCTCACAAAGAAATTTGAGATGTGAAAAAGCGAACACAGCGCCCTCTGGTGGATTCCTGAAAACTAAAACCGCAAAAATCTTACCTCATATTTGGCACTTTCCAGAAATGTATATAAGGCTGTTTTCTGAGCTGGAGACGTGTCTCCCACTTTCGTTTAGCTCACGCACCTGTGTTGAATGATGGCTGAAGATGTGTAAGTTTATCAGATCAGCTCTCCTGTGGACTCAAGCTCAGTCTCTTTCCCCTCCAAGATGTCAAAAAGCAACGTTTCATAATGTGATGCGCGCTGTACATCGAACTGACAGCATACTTAAATTCCAGCTCCAGTCTGAAATAAACGTCGTGGTAAGTGTCAAAATGATGTCTATTCGAGCATTCTTATTGGTCATTTAATGACTATGCGCACTTTTAACTTATTGTAATACCAGATTTCACACAGTGCAGGTGTTTTCCTTCGCATGCTTTCTTGTGCATGCACACAAACATCCTGTGAGCGTTCGTTAACAAATGCTCATACTATTTTCCACAGAATCAAAATAAAATTAACAACACGCTGCGATGTCTTTTATTTACAGACAAATAAGCAGGCGAGTAACCCCAAAGTACATACATTTATAAACAATAACTAGCATGTAGATTAATAGTAACTTGAGTCATTTTTTCATTGGATACTTTTTCTTGACTATAGATTTGGATTCATCACCCACCTCTGACCACTGCCCCTTCAAAGTACTTATCTTTGATTTGTAGTGTAAAATTAAATGAAAAAACAAAGATGCAGCTAGATTATTGAGGAAAGGAACAATGCAAGAGTAAGTCGTTTAATCTGAAAATAAAGTTCTTCATAACTCTTGGTATGAATGTCTCACTCTCTCTCTCTCTTTTCTCTCTCTTGGAGAAAAATGCTCCAGTTGCACAACCACCTCTAAAGTAAACAAGTTCTAGCTTTTTGAGGGGATGTGGGGTTAGGTACTAATCTAATTCAGGCCTATATTCATGCTTTCATTCTTGCTACGTTTTGCACGCTTCTACAATAATCATTAGTTGTAATTAGTAGGTGTTTGCTTTTGCTGGTTGTTACAGGTTTGTGAACGTCCTGGTCTATTATGGGCTGTCGCTCAACATTTCAGACTTTGGTATGAATATCTACCTGACGCAGATGATCTTTGGCTTGGTGGAGATGCCGGCACGCACCATTACTCTCTTCACTCTGAACCGCTCACGCAGGATATCCCAGCTAGCATTCCTGGCGGTTGGCGGCCTGGCCTGCCTGCTTACCATATTCATTCCAGATGGTAGGTGAAAAACCAAACCTTTATTAACTAGAGCACTGCGCTATGCTAGACGTGATGTCTCATTTTGTGCCATGTGCTTTTCATTCGCTAAAACTAAATTGTTCTTCTGAAGATTTGAATTGGCTGCAGACGTTATGTCTTTAACGTTTCCTGATTGAAGATCAACATGTTTTCAGAACGGTAACACTTTACAATACGGCTGTATTAGTTAATGTTCATTAATGCGTTTACTAGCATGAACAAACCACGTACAGTACATTCATTACAGTATTAGTTCATGTCAGCTAACGTTCGTTAATGGAAATAATGTCGTTTATTTTTAGATCATGTTGACTTATTATCATCCAGATTCATGCATGTTAAGGCATTAGTAAATGGTGAACTATCATTAATAAAAGCTGCACAACTATTATTCATTATTAGTTCATGTTAGTTAATACACTGACTAATCAAACCTTATTGCAAAATTGTTTCTTTTCCCCAAGTGTATCTGTCTGCGGACTGCAAGACTGGGGCGTAACATGAAGGGGTGTAACTTGTAGTAAGTTAGATAGGCGTAACTTGCAGTTATCGAGATCCCGTTGAACCATGCGAGATGTCACAACGAGATGTTGTTGGCAAGATGGTGGAAATACTCTCCAGAGAACATCTTCACCAAATGTTTTCATGCGTTTTCTCCAAATTCATCCACAGCCTATTCATTTGATATATTATTATATTCATTCATTTAGTAACTCCCCTTGCTGACTTCTTCATCTGTTTTGTCATGTTAGCCTACTCGGCTTCGCCCCCTGTGGTTGCAAATAACAGTGTGATGGAGAGCGCATCAAGTATGAAAGCCTTCGCAACTCCCGGCTGTACATTTAATAATTGTAATGGTTGGGTTTAGGGATTTGGGGTTGGTGTAGACCAGGGGTCACCAATCTTGGTCCTGGAGGGCTGGTGTCCCTGCAGGGTTTAGCTCCAGCTTGCCTCAGCACACCTGCCTGGATGTTTCAAGTATACCTAGTAAGAGCTTGATTAGCTTGTTCAGGTGTGTTTGATTAGGGTTGGAGCTAAAATCTGCAAGACACCGGCCCTCCAGGAACAAGATTGGAGACCACTGGTGTTAATGTTAAGAACTGTGATGGTGGGTTTAGTGTTGGGGTTGGTGTTGATGTGAAGAACTGTGATGGTTGGCCCCGTTGCAAAAGTTGATGTTAAGAACTGTGATGGTTGGCGCCGTTGCAAAAGCCCTCGTCTTCGATTTCGACCACGTTTTCGGATCCCGCCGCGTTCTCGCCCTTATTTTTCGGATTCCGTTTTTCGTCTTACCTGATTTCCGGAACCTGCTGTTGCCCGGAATCGATCCCGGTCGTCGTCCCTGCGGCCGGCTCCTCCTCCTCCGGGCCTCCGCTCCACCGACGCAACGCTGTGAGCTAAGCGGACAAACTGGTTGCATCGGGAAAGCCCTCCACTCGGAGGCGAGCCGTCGGCCGGCGAGCGCGAAGAGGAGGGGCGGAGCAGCGCCACACCGCCCTACAGTGTTAGCTCGAAAAAAAACTAAACGCGGCCTTTATGTACCTTTGACCACGTAAATCGCGGTCTCCAGAAACGTCCGCAGGGCTACGTTTCCAGAATGAGCTTGGGTTGGATGTGGAGTAGGTGTAAATCTTAATAACCCTACTGAAAAAAAACAGCTTAAACCAGCCTAGGCCAGGCTGGCCGGTTTTAGAGGGGTTTTGGCCATTTCCAGGCTGGCTTCCAACCATTTCCAGCCTGGTCTTAGCTGGTCAGGCTGGGAGATGACCAGCTAAAACTAGCTTGACCAGCCTAGCCAGACTGGGGGCCCAGCCAAAACCAGCTATGTCCAGCTTAAACCAGGCTGCTCAAGCTGGTTTTTGCTGGATTTAGCTGGTCATTTTCCAGCCTGACCAGCTAAGACCAGGCTGGAAATGGCCAAAACCCCTCTAAAACCAGGCTGTTCAACCAGCTAAAACCAGCCAACCAGCCTAGGCTGGTTTAAGCTGTTTTTTTCAGCAGGGAACTGATGGCTACAGCACCATCTTGCCGACAACACAGCCTACAAGTTATGCCCCTTAATGTTACGCCCCTGTCTTGCAGTCTGCAGACAGACCCTACTCATTTCCCTACTCCTACTCTTTGTTTCCCAAGCAAACGTCTGTCTTCTTTCTTCGTAGATCTGTCCGTTGTTCGCACTGTACTTGCTATGGTGGGCAAGTTTGGCATCACTGCTTCACTGTCCATTGTGTACATCTATTCAGCAGAAGTCTTCCCGACAGTCATCAGGTGAGCAGGAGCAAGACTACATGAAGTCTAATAGCTCTGTACATAAAGCTCTTTCACGTTCTCATTGTTTACCAATTTTCAAAGCACTTATTCTGACTGTGAGGTCAGCAAATCTGGTCCTGATAGGAAAGTATGTGGAAGGACTTTTAATTTGTCAGTAGCCTGGGTCAATTGCTTCGCTGAACTGTGTGCCATTACAAGATCAGATCAATGAATGAGCCAGTCTGCAGTTAAAGCACATCTGGTTCCTTTCATTTCAAATCCATTGTGTTTGTGTATAGAGCCAAAACGTTGGAATTGAGTCCTAATTATTGTGCTAACTGTAAATCAGTTTAAGATGCTGATGACCATCAAGCGCATTGTAACAGTCTTGTAAAAAGGCTCATTACATTTTAAGACGGATATTTGCTTATGTAAATCTACAGGATAGCCAAAACAGCTTGCTTCTGTTCACATATTCCCACTGTTCAGATGCCTTTGTTTTTTTTCCAGACAAAATGGCATCGGTATGGGGTCGATGTGTGCGCGAGCGGGCGGAGTGATCGCACCAGTCATCTACCTCCTGAGAGGCATCGGCCGTCACACCCCCATGGTGGTCTTCGGCCTGTGTCCGCTCATAGGTGCTGTCCTCACCATGTTCCTGCCTGAGACGGCTCATAAACACCTGCCAGACACTATAGAGGATGTGGAAAACACCGGCGTCAGGTGAGACACCACACACACACAAAACCATTCACCATTTCAAGATTACTTGAGCCTTACTGCTGTTCCTACTTAAGGTTTTTGTCTTGTTTATAGTCCAAATATCTACAACCTCTTAAATCCAGAATCACTTTTTCTAGACAAGTAAAACATATGGTTTTGTTTTCAAAAATAGCAAGAGTACAGCATAATCACACTCTTTGAACCTAATTGTGGTGTTTTGGTGACTGTCGCTTTAAATGCAAATGAGATTGTGCTCTTTTTAGAAGAGGGCGGAGCTGCAAACACAGGTGGGTCATCATATAGTGGCTGATGTCCTATGCTAATGAGGAAAAGATGGTCACTAGTGGGCGGGGCTTTCCCTATCAAATGTGTCAATCAAAGTGCTCCTGCAGACTGTGTTGATCAAGTCTGATTATAGACTAATGCAATTAAATCATGTTTAGCATTAGAGGCTGGAGATATTCACACACTGCTGACGCACAACTGTGTTTACACCTCTTATAAAAGTGATTTCTGCAGAACAGACCTCCTTTAATAGAAAGCAGCACTGCAGGGTAAGAGTGAAGCTACTGTCGATGATGTTGACCGATCATGTCAGCCCTGATCCATTACGCAGATTCTGACCCAGAAATGTTGAAAACATCAGCAGACTCGTTTTCATTTACCCAGGGAGATTTCATAAATGTGAATTCCAGGAGTTTTCGATGTTTTATTAAGGTTTGAGCTCCTTCTTGATTAGATCCTTGTTGATTTGAGGTTAGTTGTTGACACATACAGTAGAAATGCTGCCCGCAGCCTCTCCAGGGACATTTAAAAACATGTTTTCACTGCCTGCATTTGGAGTTTTCCCTCCTCCTTTCCTTAATAAGGAAGGCTGCATAGCACATAAACCACAAATCCAAACGACAAAGCCTTTAAATGCCTCAAGAAAACCACAATATTTTATTAAGAGCATATTTTATTCTGAGCAGATCACAGTTAAGGCTGATACACAAGAAATGTGGTTGATCTTTGAACATCGTTTGCCTTACAGCGCTGCGAGTGAGAAGTCACAACATGCCATGTATGAAGAGTGTCCCAAACAGAACCCCACCATCATCCTCTGAGCGCCGGCCTGATGTCAGACTGTCTCCACACAGCCATTTCAGAAGGAAAGACTTGTGTCATTTCCAGCTTTTCTTTCCAGAAGTACTTGAAGATTGTGTTGCAAACAAATGCATGAAGGCAAATTATGGATTATGGAAGATGTTTTTATTAAAACCATAACATACAGTTGTGGTCAGAATTATTCACCCCCCTTTGGTTTTTATTTTTATTTTTTAAATATTTCCCAAATGATGTTGAACAGATTCAGGAAATGTTCACAGTATGTCTGATAATATTTTTTCTTCTGGAGAAAGTCTGATTAGTTTTATTTCGGCTACAATAAAAGCAGTTTTACATTTTTTAAACACCATTTTAAGGTCAATATTATTCGCCTCTTTAAGCTTTATTTTTTCTCGATAGTCTACAGAACAAACCATCATTATACAATGACTTGCCTAATTACCCTAACCTGCCTAGTTACCCTAATTACCCTAGTGAAGCCTTTACATGTCACTGTAAGCTGTATAGAAGTGTCTTGAAGAATATCTAGTCTAATATTATTTACTGTCATCATGACAAAGACAAAATTAATCAGTGATTAGAGATGAGTTATTCACACTATTATGATTAGAGATGTGTTGGAGAAATCTGCTCTCTGTTACACAGAAATTGGGGAAAAATAAAAGGGGGGCGAATAATTCAGGGGGGCGAATAATTCTGACTCAACTGTACACTGATATAAGGGCATTTTTCCTCTCAAATGGACACATCTGAAAGGTTTTATTTTGCCACATGTAAGTTTCTAGCTTTATTTTTCTCTGCTTGAAGGGTTTGTGAATATAATTTCTTACTGTTGCAATTTTTGATATCGGTGAACGTAGACAGCTTTTTATTCAAGTGGCCTTAATTTTACAGGTGCCATAGAATGCATTGATGCAACGTGTTCAATTGTTCCCTGATATCTAAATAGAAGATTTGAGGCTTCTGCAGAAACACTTTGCAGGTCTGTTTCCAACTCTAGCAGTTGGCCCTACTATGATATGGTTGGTTTTGACCATATTTGGAAGGCTTGTGAATATTAATGAGCTCACAGTGTGTTGTATTCTAAAATACCCAATAAAATAGTTTAATTTGGTTCAGTGTTATCACAATAATGGAATTCGATACTAATCGATACTGAAATTTTAAAAACAGTAAACAGCAATGACTGCGATTGG